ACATTAAGAAGACTCTACAGGTGAATAGAGTCACAACATGAACTCATGAATATCACCATCAAACTTCACCACTTCATTACTCACACTAAGAGGAGTATTTATTGTATTACAAGTCTTCTCAAATGTTATATTTAAATATGCAAATGAGGCATTATGTAATCGTAACTTTTGGTGAATTTAGGAGAAATCTACAGACGCAAACAGACAAACGTAGTAAAATAAACACTTTGTCTATTTAGTGATGTTTTCTTTCCGCTAGTCTGAAAGAAGACGTGATATGAAATATTGTTGTCTGTATAGTGTCTCGCCTTAATTACCTTTTTATGTTTGATTTTTAAAGAACTTGTCACACTTGTATTTTTCTCCAGTACTGCTTCATGTAGCGTTTCCAACACAACAAACCGGTTTCTTTTTTTGAAGGTGTCTGATTTGGTTATTTGATGACATCGTGCTTTAACATAATCAAGAGGACGGAAGGTAGGCGGACTGTTCCTGTTTACAACCTGATCCTCTGTCCTCGGTTTACTGACCACAGAGGACGGTTATCCATCAAGACCTCACGAGTCTCTCTTTGTCTCGTTTATTGATGTTTGGTTTACTTCTTGCGATCAGTATTCCCCGAAGAGAGGAGCAGCGATGGGTTTAACAGCAGCAGCCGGTGGATTTGTCGTCTTCCTTCTCTCTGTGCCAGGTACTGCACATCCACATTTACAGAAGGTCGATTACATACCTTTTAAAACCTCTCGCCCATTACTCATTGTTTCTTCCGGACATCTCGAGTGTCTTCAATCCCAGTTTTCTGTGATGTCACATGGTTACCACAAAAATAGCTCGAGTCCTTTTTCACTCGTGCATCTTTTTGTATTCTGTGACTTGAAAACAATTTAAGTTTTTGTACAGTTTGAGACGATAAAGTTAGTGAAACATGATCAGTTCTGAGATGCACTGCGATTTGGAAGTATGGACATTAATTAAGCAAAACTTAATTGATTATATTGTTGATTTACACTCTTCATAGTTTAATAGTTTTTCACAAGCCAGGTTTCCAACCGAATGTAGAACACATTTTAAACAATCTTCCAGAAATCAGACAATTCAAGTTAATTCGTTTTTCTATCCACTACTGTTCTGCAAATAGTACAAGACAGTGGTACAACAATATGTCTTAAGTCTCTAAAATCTGTACAACCTGAGCCTAAATGTTATGTCAGCAAAAAACAACTGAATAGTTAAAAAAAAATTAAATAATAAAAAATACACAACTCATTTTTCCTACACAATTAACATTATTCAAACTATGTAAAACAAATTGTACAAAGTGCAAAGACGTTGAAAGTGATGACATCACTGGTGTGCACCCATGAAAGACGGAAGCTTTTGCTTTCTGCAGCAGAAAGAACGAATCCTCTCGCTGTTATGGTTTTTCTTTTAGATCCATTTAAACGGGACCATGCAGACAACAATCTAGAAGGTTAGACCTTTGCAGAAGAAGAGACCAATCAGTTGACTGTTGCACTTCTGCTTGTCTTTACTTGTCTTAACCACCATCAAGTCATTATTCTGTGTTTCCACATTTCATAAAACATGATTTTTCTCCGACACAGAGAGATTTAATACTCAGGGACTCAAATGTCGAAATTATTGCAGATGGTGGTCCAGTTATTTGCAGTACAACAGCAGAGTTATAAAGTGTGCAGACTTTTAAAGGCTTGACACAGCTGTGTCATGCAAAGAAATAAAAAAATTACAAGAAAAATAACAGCAATCCTCGTATCGCAAGTCATGTTTCCACTCATACTTGGCAGAAAACGATGTGTTGCTGTGTGTCAGCAGTGGGAGGAGGCTTCTTAAAAAACAGTATTTGATATAATAATATAATATAATATATAATATAATAATAATCCCAACTCATCTTTAGTTATCCGTGCCAAACCAGCTCAGTGACATAATCTTTGTAATTTGCCTATTAATTTGCCTATTTGTTATCTGCATGCTATCGGCTCACTGTTCTGCAATTCGCTGCAATTTCCTCTTAACCAACAGTCTGACCACAACCTAAACCACGACTACAAAAATGCATGTACTCTGGAGGTGCGAGGAAGTTATGAAGTTTATCTTTATAAATTAACTGTTTGATGTCCTTGGTGAGACTAACTGTCCAAAAGCCTGTGCACATTTTACACTCTTCCTTTTGTGCTGTAAAATCCAAAACACATTTTTTGCTAAGCAAATATTTCTACCCGGTGAGAAATTTGCTCAATGCAAAATTCCGACACACAAACCATACAGCTTTACTTTCAATGGCCTTTTCAACAGGAAGTAAACACGCAGATAAACATAAAAAGGAACATGAGGCGGAAAGATGTAATAAATCAAGTGAGCAGGAGAGTCATTTTCTCATAGACTTCTATAGAATCGGACTTCTCTTTGCATCCGGAGGAGTCGCCAGTATCTAGACACTTGAGCATTGGCTTCACTTTGAACTAATGAACGTGGTACAGATGTGATGTCTCTTCGTTGACGCTCGTTGGCCGGAGCTGCTGAGCAAAGTGATGGGAAGGAAGCTTGAGTCATTCTGTTGAATTAAGTTCAGTTCTCCAGCAGGATTCCATGATGAAGCACTTACTCTGATGGATCTGATTGTGGTTTCTGATGTGCTCTGTGTTACAGTGGGGCAGGGTCAGAATGGATGGGGAGTGACTTACTCCTCTGAGGACATCTGTGCCTCCAGAGGATCAACAGTGAACATAAGCTGCACCTTCAAACACCGATCCTCTGTAACCATAATAAAAACATGCTGGCACACTAAAGAACATTTTGATGTGATATGCAACTCAGACTACTATCGTGAGGCGTATATCTGTAACGACAAAAACTGCACTCTGAGAATCGTAGACCTGAAGGACAGCGACGCAACGACGTACAAGTTCAGGCTCATTGGAGAACAGACGATGGACAGATGGACTGGTGAACCTGGAGTGACACTGACTGTCACAGGTAACATGAAGGTTTACCCACACCACACACACACACACACACACACATACACACACACACACACACACACACACACACACACACACACACACACACTCTTATACGTAATAATAATCTATCTAAATGTTTTTGTTTTTATTTTATTTTATTATTTCATTATAATTAAAATATAAATTAAAATATTATTCTACTTTAATGTGTGTCTTATGTTACCTCCTAGCCTCATTCAACTCCTCTCACTCTCCCAATAAACGTATCACACATCAGATGGACACAAACATTTTGCTGGACCTTCGTTTTTCACTTTTTTCTACTCTTCAGTGTAAACTTGTGTTATATTACTCAGTTTGCTTTTGTCCCTTTTTGGTTTTGTCCCCGTCTTACTTTGTATAATATAATTTCTTTAGTCGTTTCTGTGTTCATATACTTGTTATGTACCCCCTTTTCTACACAAAGAATACATAAATAAAGGTTTATTAATGTTGTTGAGCACGTTAAAAACATCATTGCTAATGTGTTTGTATATTAGCTCATGTGTACGTTGACAGAACCCGTTTGGAGTGTATACTTCCAATGTCTTTCCTATTTGTGATGTGTGTTTCCATGTAACCACTGACTTGATGTCCTTCCTCACGTATCCAGCTCTGCAGATGCATGTGACCAGAGTGAAGGTCAACATCTCTCACACCGAGGCAGAGCTGAGTTGTAACAGCACATGCAGTCCTCCTTCCTACGTCTGGTTCAAGAACGGACTGAAAGTTCCAGAGGAAGCTGCTTTTTACACGGGCCATTTGGAACCTGGAGACGGCATCTCCTGTGCTCTGAAAGGACACGAGGATCACCGCGTACCTTCGCTGTGTGAGTTCACGTCACGGTATTGCAAAAAATAAAAAGGGCGGCCACAGTTTTTAGAGCCAGGCGCAACCAGGCGGCAACCTCCGGTTCTGCCGAGTGAAGCCAAAACGGAAGTGTCTTAAAACCTGCATTCTCTCTAATGTCCACCAGGGGGCGACTCCTCTGGTTGTATAGAAGTCTATGAGAAAATGACTCTACTTCTCTCTTGATTTATTACCTCAGTAAACATTGTAAACATGAGTTTATGGTCTCAATCTCTAGTTTCAAGTCTTCTTCAATACAGCATGATGTTCATTTAGTACATTATGGTCCATTTATAGTCACACAGACCATAAAGCAGGGGATGATTTAGGGCGGGGCTACACGGTGATTGACAGGTCTCGACCAGAGACGTATACGGCGTCTCTACTTCACTCCTCCGCATTCCAAATAGGGTAACCTTCCGTTACTTGGTTGCAAAACAACAACATAATCCATCTGAATGTGTTCTGCAAACTACAACTAGCCTACAAGTCGGATCGAACAGGATGTAACTCTTTCTTTGACTTCCTGTATATTCTCTTGAGGGCTGGTAGAAACTGTCCGCCTTGACCGCCTGATACTTTCCAGGCGCAGTTCATCTGGAATACTGTCACATTTTTTTACCCAAAGGTATCAATTTGGGAATTCAAGCTCTGTGCAAACGGCTGTTTATTTATTTCTGAATTTCCACTGTGAAAACGTGTTCATCATCTTGTAAACTTGCATTGTTTTATTTCTCCTCCAGATGCTCCAAAGTTTCCCTCTGTGTCAGTGAGTCCCTCTGGTGAAGTCATGGTGGACAGTTCAGTGAATCTGACCTGTAGCAGTGATGCTAACATAGTAGCTAACTACACCTGGTACAAGAGGAATGAAAAGGAACCTCTCAGTAAAGAACCTCAGCATGTCCTCAGCTCCATCCAGTCCTCTGACTCTGGACAGTATTACTGTACAGCTGAGAACCAGCTGGGGAGGAGGGAGACTCAAATATGTATTGATGTGAAATGTGAGTGAAACATCTTATTGGGTAAAAACGAAGCTGGGTTTTGTCTGTCATAGATGTTTAAAGGGCAATTTATGTCAGCATTGTCATCACTGTCATGCTAATGGTGGCGTATTAAGGTCTAGTGTGTAAGATTTGGCGACATCTAGCTGCAAGGTTGCAGATTGCAACCGACTGAAATTTTTCCCATGTCGAAGCTCGTTCAGTTTGGTTTTGTCCGCTCTGGGCTACTGTAGAAACATGGCAGCCTCCGTGTAGACGAACTGCCCCGTGTACCATAGATATAAACGGCTCATTCTAAGCCAATGAAAACACAACGGTTCTTATTTTCAGGTAATTATACACTAAAAAAAAACATATTTCTTTATATTATATTCCATCTAAATACTACACACTCTACCTTTTTAAGTGAATGAAATTGATTATCCACAGATAAACCCATTGAGATGTATCCTCTCATTTTCCAGGAGGTCCCAAACACAACCTACGAATAGACTTTGATGAGAGAGAAGAACATGACGGCATTACTGAAAACATTGGCGGTCTGAATTTGAGATGAGAAAACTAAATGTTTTTAAATAAGCCAAATAATGGCAGAGAACTGATATTTAAAGTTAACTTATCAATCAGAAGGGGCCCAAAACACACCAACTTCTCCAAATACAATTAGGGACTATTTAAGAGATCTAAATATACGTGGCACTAAATCAACACATCTGTCTTTTGTAGTTAATTTTGTAGTTTCATGTCTATCTTCCAGATGCTCCGAAGAATTTCTCTGTGTCAGTGAGTCCCTCTGCTGAGATAGTGGAGGGCAGTTCAGTGACTCTGACCTGTAGCAGTGATGCTAACCCAGCAGCTAAATACACCTGGTACAAGGAAAACCAAACACTGCTTCAGGGTCCAGTTGGTGTTTATCGTTTCACCTCCATCAGCTCTGAGGACAGAGGGATCTACTACTGCAAGTCTGAGAATAAACATGGATGGATCAACTCTTCAGATCAATTCATAGATGTCCAGTGTGAGTATTAAGTTGTAAAGCCAACCATCTACTCTGTGGAAGCTTAGTTGGACTTTTCTTGGTGTAAACTTATATGACATGTTCGGAGTTGTTTTTAAGCTCAGTGTAATTTACTTCACTTCTGTGTTTTTGCTTGAAACCCTACGTTTCCTGGAGCAACATGCGACACAGAAAATAAAATGCGGACTTGCGTTCCGCTGACTGAAAAGCCTTTTCAGTCAAAGTATCTTGCATCCTGCTCACTAATATTAATTGTGCTGGAAACATTTCCCCCTCCAGATGCTCCAAAGCTTCCCTCTGTGTCAGTGAGTCCCTCTGCTGAGATAGTGGAGGGCAGTTCAGTGACTCTGACCTGTAGCAGTGATGCTAACCCAGCAGCTAAATACGCCTGGTACAAGAAGGATGAAGACTCACCAAAAGCATCAGGACAGATCTTCATCATCACTGACTTCAGAGCTGAACACAGTGGGAGTTATTACTGTGAAGCCCAGAACAACAGGGGACGTCATAGATCCACCTTACACCTGGCTGTTTTATCCGGTAAGTCTTTCCACTGCATCTGATGCTCTGGAGGTACACACACACACACACACACACACACACACACACACACACACACACA